AATTTTTCATATCTTGATAGCAACATCCCTGTATGATCAACCAACCTATAGTGTTTACATGTCGCAGTTGATTCGACATTCAAGGGGACGGATAAACTTGTAACACAGACTTTCATAAGATGCGGAATTATACAAATTACGGTGAAATTTTACTTTCGTCATAAGGATTTTTCTTATTTTCCTTGTACTTCAGTTTCTGCGGGAGTTTCCGTGGTAACCCTTTCTTTTGTTCATATTTTGGACTACTTGTATTGAATCTGAATTTGTATGATTATTATGTTGATAAGCTATATTTGATCAATTTGACAAACAAAGAAAAAGAAACAACAAAGAACGTTCTTTAAACACTTCATCCCTAAAGAATATTTGATTCTACCACATCTGGTTCCTGAGAAGATATTTTGACGTTTCAATTTGAAATGAAAATCTGCTTTGCCTATCAGTCCCGATAGGAAAATTGGCCGATATAAACTATCGCACATTTGTGCGCACGTTGTGGGGTTCTATCGCACAAATGTGCGATTCTATCGTGGTTGATATAAATTTAGAAATGTCTTATATATAAGTGTTTGATAGGGTTTATTTACTTTCTAAATATATAAGAATACAACTACGTATATTTCCTAATTAAGCCGTTGATAGGTTGGACACATACTGAATGGTTAGACACACTTGTATTTTTAATTGTTTTGTTTACAAAGAGCTACACATGACTAGACTTAGTGTTCGAACACACATTACATATTCATTATATATGTAAACATTGAATGAAATGCAATGAAATACCATACTGGCAGAAAGGAAATTTTATTTTCATTACTTCTGTGTTATTCTTATTTTTCAATCCTTTTGTAAAACAAAAGTATATATGCTCAGGTAAATCTGAAATGTGTTTTTAAACGGGCGACTCAGCCGGTACGGATTCGGACCTGTCACGTTTATACCCGAATAAAGGTAAACTGTTGTTGCCCGAGGCACTACTACTCGCTACGTTCTGAGGTGTGAAACGATATACGAGTCTACGTAATGCAGGTCTTGTCTCATTTCGAAAGTTGTCCTTCAATTTTGACGATCGCTATATAGTAATAACTTCACGAATTTTCAGTTTAATGTCCTATCCGTAATATCAGCCAACCATTTTTACCGAAACGCACAAAATGTGCGATCCTATCGTACAGTTGTGCGCGCGATGCTGTATTGTATTTTTTTGTTTTTTTTTTGTTTTTTGTTTTTTGGGGGGTTTTCTTCCTTTTTGTTGATATTTGACCCTAATTCTATCTTTTTGCTTTTGTATTATGATAATGTTATGCTGACATGTTTCTTTTAAAGTAAATGAGAAATGCTAAAGTATGTTATCATTTATGCTTCTACCTAGACCAGGGTGACGTTGAGCTTTCAAGTTTAAGATAGATTTAGTTTATTTAGGTTGAAATATATGTATTGAGACAGGTTCACGTCGTCTTTGGAGGAGGTGTTAATAATATATCAAATCAATTCACGAGAATACCACTTTAAGATGGCGGAAACATTAATCTTCTTATGGAAGCTTTCAGTGATATCACATGTCTAATGGATATGATGGAAAGCATGCTATTAAAGAGTGACTCTTCATAGGTAATTCAGAAAAGCTATCTGATCGGGATTATCTAAGATGATTGAGTAAAGCGGTTCCATCGCTAAAACCATTAATCTTCTATCAGGACGAAATATTGAGTCTTTTTTTAGCAATACACATCACTGTTGCTATGTTTGTTGATGAGGTATTCAACTTTTCGTCACATCAACACATTTAAGTGATGATATGTCTGTCGCTTTTACACTTAACTACCAGTCCATTATACATATATAATCTTCAGTGAATAAGTAATAAGAAAAACAACATACCACAAATTTTGAAGTTTTATGCTTCGAAACACAGAACGGAACACAACATATACTCTCAAATCTTTTTAAAAGGGAACTGAATACTGTTTTCTTATCGATAAAATGTCGTTATTTTGTACAAGTATACATTATATATGTGAAATGAGTTTACTTGTGTAACTTATTTTTTCTTTCTCGTTTGTTAGAAAAAAAATAATGTTGGTATGTAATCATAGTTCATAGACAGCTTATTGATTAAATGTCTGACTGATTAGGGTGATATATACCTCACCGGTGTCAATGACCAATTTATTGTTGTTTACGTTACGTGTTTTCTTAAATAAGCTGTGTATTCGTACACACCGCTAACTCTTTACGTGTTGTACTTGGTAAATATCTAATGTCAAGGTGGGTTCTTCGGTCAGTGACTCCGGCATATCTTTGATAACTAGCCTAGATGTCTGGAATCATGCACAAAAGTGGCTGACACTAAATTATCTTGTATTGGTTTGATTAAATCTGTATGAATGGGAATAGGGATATCCATATCTGTTTAATTGTCACCACTACTCGTCACCAGCAAAATACAATTTCCAAATTTATGATTGAGATATACGGTCATATGCTGTCAATAGTAAATGATGACGATATAACGTATCTTTTTATTGAATATTCATGAATCGTCAACTGGTCGTCAAGACAATCCTTCTGACGCGTGCCAGAACATGACGCCTATCATTCATACTTCGGCAGAGTATCGACGTTGGCATTGGACAGCATCATGATCCCAATGTGACATAATCTTACATATTATTACCCGGCGGAAAGAACGATGATGTTAATATTACTGATACGTTCCTATTCTCCCCTTTCAACTATAAATACATCAGAATGCCAAGAGATATAACAAATCAAATCCGTAATCCACTGGACAAACAACAGATGTTGTAATGTCTCAACATAATGCCAACTGTAATATGTCCTTGTCTCCTATGTTTACCGGAAAACTCTAGGATGAATGATTAGTAAAAAACATTGGCAATACACATGCTGCCATCGTCCACGATTTTCTTGTATACTTCGAAACCTCAACGATGTCCGCTGCTTTATTCATCTAACTAACTGAGTGTAGGCAGACCGTGTACGTCATCAATGGTTCAATAGAGTGATATGATTGGCTAAGGGGCAGTTTTGAATGAAATGCTCATATATCAGTTTTATTTGCATTTTTCTTGTAATTCCGATATTTGTATGTTTCAATCTGAAATGATTTAATAATGTTGAGATGGTATGTTTATTTGAATGCATATTTTAGATATTAGCTAATGCGTTTTGTCATTCTGATACTCGTCTCGTATCTATCATTATTATTATCATTATTATTATCATTATTATTTATATGCGTTAAAACAAACATTCAATGTGAATATTGAGTTTTAATATCTACATTTTTTCTCTTTATTATGTATATAATATCAACATGACAAAATGTATTCCACTGACGTTTTCATACATTTGTGGTGTTCATTTTATTCTTTTCAAATATTTCATCGATACATAAAGCATTGTTAAGTTATATTGTATTTCAAACTGGGATGAACAAATATTAAAATAGAGTAGGGCAGGTGCACAAATCATTTATCAGAATTCGTGTAAACAATTATTATATTGAGTTATTCTAACAAACCATAAGTCCTTATGCAATAATTGTAGGGCTACAAACAGCTGTATGGCCTTTTATGTAACAGCTGTATTTAAACCATGAATAGGACACATATTTTGATAGCGTTCTTGATTATACATGTGCGTTGAAACTTCAGTGAGGAACAGAGCGATAATTGAACACCGAGCATATCTTATTAATTCGGGGAAAATGATTGAAATGAACAAGCATTCATCGATGCATTATAACGTGTCATAACGCAATCTCGATATCAAATGCATAACAGACATGATTAATAAAAAATCTATTTCTAAATGACGTTCTGTCACATCTGTAGGTTTTTAATTGGTTGATGTTGCCCGAATGGAAGCTATAATAATTTAAGGGTGGTGTCCCTGTGTATGATGGCTTAATTTTTGTGAGATTACGATCTGTTCATGAACGCCTCATTGTGAAAGTTTGAAACTACAAATTGAAGTATATTGCGGAAGGCACTCAGCAGAAAAACCTATCACATTATACTGATAACGGGCAAATTAGTCATTGCACCACCACCATGCCGAGCTTTGGGCTAGGTGGACAGCTTTCTGCGTTTAAAAGTTACGCGTCAGTGAACAAATGACATGAGAACAGAGGAGTTACGAAAATGATTTAAATGTTGTTAGAGTAAATCTAAAGTACATATACTTAAACCTCTTGACCAGGGGTCATAGTGACCTAGTTAATGACCCTTCAAATGTCATGCTTTTATGTAGGTTCGCCCGTTTCAGGGACTTTATCAAGTAATTGAATACCAAATACAATTCGCTATTATTTCCCATTTCACTCTGAGTGAGCCGACAAGCCGAGACTATACATATAAATCTATACCATTTTACAAACATTAACATCTGAATATGTCTTAGCGGATATCGTTAACACCGGTTGCATAATTGTGATGTCAAAATGTTAGTGAATTTGTTGTGTAGTATCACGATTTTTGTACAAGAAGCTGTCAACTGATAAACTGTGAGCACACTTTCAAAAGATGCAGGTTGATGAAAATCATAAGGACGTTTTACGGTCGTCATAGCTAAACTTATTCTGTATCTTTGTATGATTTTAAGCTTGACGTGTTTGAAGCTCATTAGAATGCCTGTTGGTTCCTTTGCTGTATACCATGTTCTTTGTTCAGAACATGACATGATTTACATGGATAGACCACGGTTTGCATGAAAAATGTCGTTGATGAAGCTGAAAACGTTTACTCTTCCGGAATACCTGGTCTAATTCTCCATATGCTTTAAAAAACTGCGTGTAAATCTGTCTTTTATTCTTATTTTGCTCTTGTTCTATTGAATCTTTATTTGATTATGATTCTTTTCAAATGTTAAAGTTTTCTTATTTTGATATTTTAATGATAACGTTTACAAATTGTGAATGAGTCTTTAATGCAAATTACTTTTTATTCATTAATATACATTGAGGGAGCATCTCAGGTAAATGCTGTTTCCCATAGAAAACTAGTATCGTTCATTAACAAAGAGAGTGCCTTATTAAATGGCCTGTAAAACCTTTCCAACACCAATCTTGTCTCGTTGAGCATATCTCCTATTTGTCGACTTGACGGTCTACGTTGATTAAAACGTGTACGCTTGGTTCTTCTGCTCTCAAAGTTACCTGAAAGTAAAATAAAATTTCGAAGGTAACATATTTATGTTAATTCATTATCATAGACACTGGGTATAAGAGTATTACTTGTTAAACATACCGATCTCGTACATTTGGGATTTGTGTGCTAAGTGTTTTCTATACGTGGTAAATAATGGAATTTATATTTGAAATTTCAACAATGTTTACTCGAAATCGTCAATATGGCGGTGATATATAAACAATGGTTCACATGATACAGGTTGGTGAAAATTATGGAGAAGTTTTACGGTTGTCGTTGTGATCTCATTGAGAAATATTCTTTTTCTGTTTGCGATATTAAGCTAGATATATTTGATGCTCGTTTTTCCTGTTGGTTTCCTGTTGTATATCTTGTTCTCATTTAAGAACGAGACACTGTCTACACGGCGGCTGTTATGGTGCCATGTTGATATTTTCTTGTTGTATTTCGTTATACGAAACTATGAATGTTGTCTAACTTGATATAGACGTAACCTGTGTCGACGACAGGTTGAAATAATTGCATGTCATAAATCACAAGAAAGGACTAGTAATAAAAGATTGATTGATTGTATTATGCACCGATATTAATATATGAGGTTCTATTCATAAAAACTGTATAAAATTACCGAAATTTTGAGCTTTTAATTCAAACTCGAATTCAATGAAAGAAAACTAAACTAAATGTATATACAAAAACATTTGAAGACCCTTGAACAAGTGCAAGGAGTATAGGACAGAATGTTGCTTCATCTAAACAACCTGTGTCGTGTTCTCAAATCGGAACATGGTTAGCAACAACGAAGTAACCAGGCATACTAACAAGCATTGAAAACCTCTAACTTAATATTGTTGGAGGAAATACGATAGTCCGCCATGAGATCATGGTAGAAACAATATGACTTTCGTTTGAGAGATGTTAAAACATGACAGTCACAAATTGGATTGAATTAAGACTAAGAAGTTTACAAGAATAAACGAAGACAGAAATGGTTTGAATTTGATTGACAGCCACATCTCTTTTGAGGACAGAACAAGAAAAAAATGTCAAAGAAACAAATACTTACGTAAACCTAAGAACTTGAAAACTTTCGACAAGACCGTTGATTGGTTCGCAGAATAATTGTCTAAAGAAATAACAAGTAGCTGTTTCCGGGGGAAAACGTCCATCCAGTCTTTAAGGAATACGGCATATAAGCCAATCATTAGTCTTAGTCGGACGTCTGTAGCTTCCTTTCAACAGATATCATTGCTTTAACAATAAGGTAATAGTTTAAAATATTTTACCAAAAATATCCTTTATATACATAACGAGAATTATAGAGATATATACAGGAAACTGGCACATTGCTAGTCCTTACTTCCATGTAGATTAAAGAACTCCGACAACATTCATCTCTGTATCATCTGGTCTGAATTTAGAGAGTCAGACAGAAACCTATTATGCTACCTCATAAAGTCAATTCCGGGCGGGATACAATATCTACTACTGGACAAGAGGGACGTTGGCAAGTTGAAAGATTGCTCCTAAACTTGAGAGGTTATGAGCTATTTCCTCCCACTACGTCAGACCCACGTCTGAAGAATCAGTATTGGAATTCTTGTTTGACGTCCGGTCTGAATGTATGGGATGGAGAGGACTGGTTTGGTAATCAGTTGTCAGAATATTATGACCGACTGAGATGTCCTAATACCGTGTCAGGTTTGAGACAGTTATTTTTTTTAATATTGTTAAGGGACACATAGTGTCCAATTCATTATTGGACAGCACTTTACAATCATTTTAAGTTAAAGTAAGGTATGCATAACATTAACCGGTATCTCCTGTTTATATCTATAATCATGATTGGAATATTTGCAATTAAAACAAAGAAATTCTACTAAAGTAATTTTCTTAGATAAATTTAAAACGAGAAGTGTGAGACACTGGGGTCATGAATTCATAAGGTCTTGAGTTGATAAGTTGATAAGCTTCTATAACTAGACTCGTTACAATTATCATAATTTTACTCACTTTGTAGGCGCAATGACGAAGACTGTTGTTGGCCAAACAAGTATTAAACGAATGGACTGCACGAGTAACGTAGTTGTTGAATATATCGACCGACTTTTGTTCATCGGGAAAAAAATACAAATATTCGGAAAATAATCTGTAAAGAAAAGTATTGTTGAATTTGTAGACTGTCAATTATAAAATATCTAGAGACATGCGTTAGCACCTTGAGAAATAGAGTTTTACATTTACATATACATACATATGCAGTGCAGGATTTTCCCCTTTAGAATTTTGTATCTATGTCTGCATTTAACAGAATATTTACCATTTAAAATACAAACTAAATTTTTGAAAAGTTTGGTACTCATGAATAAAAATGAAGTAAAGCAAACAAACACAAAAATATAATAGTATTAATAATCACATTCACGAGGCCTTATATGATTTTCAAATTTCCTGAAAAGATCGTTAGAAGAAAATAAGAGCAGGTGAACTATGTTGAACTTACCATTCGCTTATTGTACTTCAGCTATATATGCCAGAATGAGTTTTATCCATAATGATCACATAACGTTCTTAAAGACACATTCAGTCGATCATACACACTTCAAAAATATATTTGTGTGCTTGTTTATTCTTTTAAATTGATATACTGAATGTAATCATTCAGTTTGATAATCACTACAAACTATTTAGCTGTGAAGTAGTTTGATGGTAAAGACAATTACACGGAAATAACCAAATATCACAGAAACCTAATCAAACTATCTTATAATGCATTCAGCTCCAAAACCTCTCTCACGAGTTTGTTTAAACCAGCATATAAAAAGATAGGTAATTTACAGAACATTTAGATATGCAAATAAACAGTTGCCACAAAAACTTTGAAATGATTTATTTCAATAGCAGCAAGTTCTAAAAATAAGTTGTCAACATAGTCTAAAAGCAAAGAAAAAATTATATTAAATTGTACAATCAATATCCATCAACATAATAGTCTCGGTTCGGGGATGTTGTTACGGTGCAAAATTTTGTTTCTTTCTAATATATATAGACAATGTGTAACCTTAAGAATGATTTGTTTTAAATAACATTTACAAAATAGTACTGTTGGTATGAAAATAAGCCTTAAACGAAGTGATTAAATAAACTACATTTTTAACCAACTTAGAAAAGAAACTTTATATAACAGCCAACTTCAACTCTGTACTAACCGTTCCACTGGATTCCTAAGAATTACCAATAACTTCACATCCGGCAGTATATGACGTATGAAGTGGGCGTTATGTATCCCAGGTCCCTTATCGTCCTCATTTTCTGGGTATTCCCACCACCATTGGTGATCCCATAAAGTCGACTGGCTCCCTTCTCCTGGGAAAACACACAGCTGTCTTCATATGTCTGTATGACACTGTGTTATTCGTAAGAGTTATACCAGAGACTACAGACTATGTGATACAACTTAATTCTATATGGAAGTATTAGCAGTTTTACTCTGTTTGAATCTTCGTAATACTTAAATTACATAAATACTAATGTTTATATTGTTCAACATTCTATCAACTATTTTCAATTAAAGACGACGTGATGTACCTATGAGTGTGTGTGGGGGAGGGGGTTAAAGTTTGTGTGTTTTACGAGGTTGCAATATGTTCTGGTATGCCTCATTGTGATAGTGTGGAACTGAATCTAACTTTTTAGTGCTACCACACTGAAAAATACCCAACTGACGAAAACGGCAAAATCACGCGTTACGTTACATAATCAAAATGCTAAACATTATACTAGGAGTAGCACATGTAGCTATCATTTCTAAATACTGCGGTATGTCTCGGCCAATATACCATGCGACAAAAAATTCCTCACGTTCAATCTAAGACCATCAAGGATGCAATGTTGAGAGAGACATTGGGATGGAGAGAGGTCTTCAAAAAATGTTTGCATATAACTATATCATAGTATTGGTAGTGGCATTGACAATGTGATAACAGAACGATATTTTTCAATATTTATCATTAAAGTATATTTTCCTCAATTCAGCGACCTTCCTTACCATGATATCAAATGGGAAAATGGCCTTTTTATACCTATCAAAACAAGAACGATTACACTCGGATTATCTCATTTTCAAATTGGATAAAAAATAAAGCAAATGTTTATGATTTACGTTCAATAAAAGGTACGAGTTCACTTGCATGACCCTGTAGATTTTCCCCCGGAGCCTAGAGTAATTTCAGAGTAATTTATAAAAATCGTTTTATACAACTGATTTTAAAAACAGATAAAGCTGATAGTTTAAACACACATTTTCAGACTATCAATGTAAAGAATCGAATATTATTGTGTTTGTTGTAACCCTGTTCACAAATAATTATTAGATTATCCGTTATAGAATTACTCGGGTAAATAAACTGTATGAAAAGCTCTCCTGACAATGTATTGAACATTGTAATTCACGTCGCATTTTCCCCATATAAGTTAGATGTAATGCCCCTTTTGGACAACGTATACCGAACTGATGACAAATACTAATATTACCTAGCACTTAATGGTCGCAATGATCAAGCTTACATCTCACCATATGACTGTTCGCTAACTGGTTTTTAACAAAGAGCTGATCACACGTCATCTTAACATTTATATAGTTGCTTATGTACTGAGTATTTGTGTTTTGCAAACATTGCAAGTTCAACAACTATATATAAGCCAAATGGGTAAATATCTTACTTTTACTAAAGTAAACATGAAGACTTACCTGTGATAATTTGCATCTTCGCAGACTTTTCAGCAACGTGTAATGTTTCCGCAACATAGCTAAAATAGTCTGTATATTCCGTAAACGAATGCGGCATTTTTTCTACAAATGCAAATAAATAAAAAAGTATTTACGGCGTATACTTAATGATATATATTTTTGTGCTAAATGTACGTCATTCTAAAGACACTTACCGCTGGAAATAGACAATCACGAATTAAAAAAATAGTATGACACGTTATTAAGTTAATCATTTCAATGTTATCAGTATATAAAATACTTTCTGGCGGTTTGGTATTATTTAAAAGGAGATTCGTGATCGTTTTACTTATTAACAAGCATGTGTCTCGCTGTTAATTTGTCATATCTATATTCATAGCTGGTTGACTACACGCTGGGATATTTTCTTAATCACAAATCAATACCATAAAATATTACATTATTCTAAAGAGAAGAATTCTTGCATTTTCATTAATCACTATAAACTGTATCTATAATAAAAGCATTAGTGAAGAGATAGTTACGAGTCTTTTGTATAACCCTTTGGGATTGTATGACAACAGACACTCTTAACTGTGCATTACACGTCTAAAAAAACAAAGAAAAAAATATAGTTTTTTATTATGATTTCTTGATTCGCGTTTAGACATTTGACTTTCAAATGTTAGTCCCCTAGCATCACCATCTAGCCAGTACAACGAAACAACTGTATAATGCAGTTTAATTAAAACGTAAGACATACATTATTCTAATAACTAGAATTGTATTGAAAAGTGGTGTTCTTTTTTCGTGTATCTCTAAGCAATACGTTGTCATTGTACGTGCCCATACTGATAAAAAGACATGCCGTAATACCGACGTGATTTTCATTATGCTACTACATATTCATAAGATACTCACGTTTGCATGGATATTGAACGTCTGAAATGAAAAGCAACTTTATATTTACAATACGATATTTCAGTAAGACTGAATAAATAACTTTATCAATACAGTGAAATAGCCGAAAGCCATATAAGAATACTGCAAGACAAACAAAAATGATTTTAGGTTTGGTGGGGTTTCATTTTATTTATATCATTATAACATTGTACATATTGTAGAATTATTTTATCTTAAAGGTTTTACTCTTTTCTGATTGACACTGCCATAGTGTTAACTTACTCCTTTTTTTCTACATTGAATTTTCGACTTTATTAGTTCTTTAGCCTCGAATCTGTTTGTGTTTTATTTAGATTCATTCTGGTATTAACTGACCACTGCTTACCTATCACAACATTGATTAGTCAAATTTTAACATTAAGTTGTTTTCATAACTTTGCCTTAAGTTTGGTTTAAAAATATTTCGTGCAAATTCAAACATTTTGTTTACATTCCCTTTTGAATCCCATTATACTTACCGCGACAATGACGATATCTTGTCCACCAATGCGGTTCCTTAGAAATGCTCGATCTGACATCCGGGTGTTGCACAATTCGCTTAAAGAGATCGGTGCTGCCACTTTTTGGTTGGCCAATCAACATAAAGTATGGAAGGCAGCGAAGAATTTTTTTCTTGGTCTTTCTATTTCCGGAATATAGATTACACAGCCTACTTGCATACCCACTATCCATACTGCACAAATATTCTATCCAAACCGTTCTCCGGTCATTGTCATCATCATACCAACAGGGATTTTTCATGTCGGGAAGAAACGGAGGCAGTTTCTACACAATATAAAAACATTTTCTATACTTTCAGATGTAACAGATGCTGTAAAGATGGAAGTAAATAGAAAATATGTTTTCATATAAATGACGCAATTCGTTTTCAAAGCAAACTCCGTATATGATTTAAAAACTGAAAATAGCTAAGGCCTTTTCGAAGTGTGCGTCAAAGTCAAGATGTAACAACTGTAACCCTGAAAGACGCGAGTTTTTTTTACTCATTCAACACGAATTTGCCGAGTACCTAGGGCGAACAAAATTTCTGGAGGTAGAAACTATCTCTAAACCGACTCTTGATAAGGCTTTCTTCAAAAAGGCAACTTTTACATTTTTAGGATAACGAAGAACGAAGTAACATCAGTTAAGCATTCTATTTTCAGCTAGATATGTGTAAAATACATTGTTGATAATATAGCCAATTTTGAGGGTACAATTGTTGTGTGTGGAGGTGCAGATATGGGATGTTTTTTTGTTTTTGTTTTTTTTTTTTTGTGACAAAGCATATTTTGATTATTATTTTCGCAGATGATGACAATTAATAGGGCAATCTCTTCGGTAACATTTGACCGTTACGATGACGGGAATAATATATTGGGTGACCAAGGGGTTTGATATGTATTCCATGTGCGTGATATAACGGTCTGAAGATCAGCTTCGCTGCAGAAACATAAACAATTGATTGTGTGAACTATTTTTAAGCATCTCATGTCATCACAAGAATGGCAGCATAGTAATTATCTCTCGGGACTAAGTAAATATGTACACAGAGAGGAAGTATGCGACATGTAGAATTAAATGGAAACCTTTAACAATGCATAATACATTACAGTTGTAAGTGTATGTAAATCTACAGAATTTGATAATGTGTGTTGGGATGATCAAACAAATTTATTTCAAGTTTGGTTATGACAGCATACTTAGCTAGAATAAAAATCCAATTACAACCTTGAAGGAACACTTTAACAACATTAAATCGCTATCATTTTCCGTTGAAGGTCAGGGTATGAAATGCCTGTTAGTAAGATAATGAATAGATATAGATTTTACATGCTTAGCTCTGACAGCTTTGATAATTCAAGAGAAATGAAGCTCAACACAAGCTAAATAGCGAAACGTTTATGGCACACACCAAAGTATCGCGAAGTTCAATTAACAGTAAATAATAGGTGAAAATTCAAGATATGATACGTGCGAGATAATCATACATATATATATATATATATATATATATATATATATACACCCGCTTTTGTTGCAAATACATTTTGATCGCTTCAGTTGAACTGGAACAGAAAACGTTCGCGGATCTGTTTATTCACCAAATATAAATAATTCCACAGCAAAATGTAGTTTCTTTTTTCCCTTGTATCCTATATTCTGTTAAAATTTAAGTATTGATTTTAGCTGGTAAGCCAAAGAATCCATAATCACATCCAATGGAAAATGATCACTATGTCTATTATAATGGATTATGATAAACTGGTATCAATACTGAGTCAAGGGATCCCTGGTACAGAGAAATGCTCACTCTTACAAGTACTGGTGTTCCATACAGAAAATAATGAGGCGTTACGGTACAAAAAACAATGGTTTCAAAAGTGTATATAAACCTTTTCTCTACTGTTCCCTTTTATAGAAAATGTATAAGATGAAAATAGTTAAAATACCTACCTTTTTCAAAAGTTCTGCAAACGGACCTGACCTCCTGGCTAAAGTATGGTTTACTGCACTATTGTTCCATTCCCAATATCTGGAAATAATCTGGTTGAAGCCAGCATCGTACAAATCATCCCTGTTGTACATTTGCAATCCATACCAACGATATTCTTCAAAACTAGTCATTGTCATACTTTGAGTATAGTAAATCGAAAAAAGTAATCCAAAAATAAATATAATTGCCAAAATCGTTCCGTTAAACAAGTGACAACGGTTAGCAAAACCTGTCATTGTTGTGCCTCATCTAGGAATTTAAAAAAAAAAAAACACTACATGCAGTTATACTTCCCAGTATCAATGGCATACCACGTGTCGTCTATGAATCGTATCTGTTATTTTTGTGATCACATCTTCATTCTGTATAGGGAAAACACAAAAGACATGCAATGACATTCACAATTTTAGGGAAGACACTAACACGTTTAGATCCATACATTTATCGAGAGCAACTGATTGTACCTTATCATATTCATGAGATAAAGATTTTGTGTAATCTCGGTAAATTTCAATATTTTTTTTTTAATTTTTGCGAGACTTCCGATCCGAGTTTCATAATTTCTTATATAAATAGAAAACATATTTAAGAAACATTTTTATAAAGCTCAGCAAATAGAGATTTTGAGAGTTTTGAATTAAACAAGAAGTATACATTGCCTTACTAAGTTCTTTGACGTCATAGCAGAGGAGAATAATGACGTCTTAATTAAACTGGAGATAATTACTCTCCTAACAGACCTGTTTAGTCATTGCCTAAAGATGTTTTATGTGCGACTTTGCAGTGGAATGCCGATGTAATACCCACTGCAACCTAGAAACGATTGGCAGTATTTATCAGGGAATTTTTATTACCACGATATATTGGTGTTCACAGTGGACATAGTCTGATTCCCCTCTTCCAAATATTAGCAGGTACTGCATAGTTGATCTGTTTCTGCAAATCTATATTTACAATACGAAATATGTTTACCGACTCATTCAAGCGTTGATGTCTTACTAAGGTGTCACTTATTGTAGTACAGATGATAAACGTATTGACCTCTTCGTGTGCCTAAGGTGGTAGAATCCGAAATGGAGATACTGCTGAATATTTGTGAACGAGTTTTAAAAATACCTCGTACCATAGGGTTCCCTCATCCTTTCATAGACAGATCTACATCGAGCGGAAATGATTAAGACACTAAGGAAAGAAAATTGAAACGAATATGTGATAGCATCACTTAAAACTCACAAAACTCGAAATAAAAACATCCCTTCTACAGTACACCAAAAGCACGAATTTTTCAAACAGTATGAAACAATGAATGAAGCAAAAGACAATGGGAAATCCAGATTTCATCAACATAAGTATAATATGATGATATGGGTGATCAACGCAAATTTGTCGTGTGACTCTAAAGCTTGATATAGTTAATATCACGTCCAGGTTACATGAGTGTTATATTGCATCGGATTAACTGGCGATTTCTTAGTTTAGTGCTCTCAGTAATTAACACATCAGGGATTTAAATCTGTATAATAATATATAGAGGTACCTTATTAGAATTATTCAAAATTACACAAAAACTCATAAAAGTATAACTAAAACCACAAAATGAAATTATGTAATTAATGTAAATTGGAGAGGAAACCTCAACAGTTTTAATAAAATTCAATAAATATACGTACCTTTTGCGTGATCCATGTTAAAGTAAAACAGAACAAAAATATGTACACGTATACACGTCTTATAGGATGTTTAGAATATATTTAAACGTATCGCTTCTCATCAGAAAGTAAACGTGGACACTGCATTATCAGCGACGATAAGACTAAAAACACACTTCACTTATGCAAATACACTTTGAGAAAGATTTACTTCATTTGTCAAACTCGAAAGCTTTCCATATTAATACACCCAAGGCGAAAGGTACACACTTAGTCATTTTACCAGTTACAGCTACTAAGTAGTATTAAATACTAGTCAGGTCAGTATTTGCATTTTCACTGAGTGTATGTTTGCAAGGATTCGATGATTTCGCGTTAAGTTCGCTTATGATAGTGAGGGATCCGAATACTTTCCTCAGCCGGCTCACATACTTCAAAATTCAGGTCTTTATCATCACTGAGGAGACCTAAAAGACGATACAGCTGTTTGGTGCAGTTGATTTATGATTTGACTTTGCTCTATCTAGTCCAAACTTTATATTGTCAATAATTACTTTTCTTTTGTGTCATCGTCTATTTAAATTCGTAGTAAAAGCATAAAGAATAGGACGTAGATTTTCTTTACCTCCTTAGCTTTAAGATGCACCCAATTCTATAGTTCCGGAATCCACGGTAAAGTTACACGGAATTTTATCGACTCAGACTTCAACTTGCAGATTCACCAATATGGCGGCCAAAGTCTTGCAGGTGCAGTTCAGACGATACAAACGTGAAATGTTTCCAACTACCATTGACATTGACGTAGGCATTTTGAATTACAGGTAAATACAAAATAAAAAAGAATGACTGAAGAAATATCTGTGATAGTTTGTATTTTTGATAGAGATCGATTCCTGTTGATTTGTTATTGAAACTGGTTGTGTTATATGAACTTCTATTTCATTGTATACGTTTACTTGAAAATGATCAAATTATTGGAGATTGTAGATTTAACGTACCTACTGTCACTACAGGTTCTTATGTCATACAGGGATAATCGCTAACCAACAGTAGATGACAATGATTCAAGTAACTGTTGTTGGGAAAGACATGATTAGATTGAGAGGTTCTTTGGTAGAAACTGCTCTCAAGATAGTCATGGAATGCTGTGTTATTCAAAACATATGTTCCAAAGATATATATTCCAAAAACTGCTTGTGTTAAGGAATCTATAGTACGAGATGATGACAATGCTGTTAAGAATATCAGATTGAACGCTCCACGTGCAACGAATGCAGGGACACTATGAAGAGAAAACGGATTGGAAGACTCTTGCCAAGATGATATGTTAAATACATATAGCGATTTCGAAAGATCATCCAGTACTTTCAAGAGATGTGAGTACTCCAAAATGGTACAATGACACATTTCGGTGACAATTTAGAAAATTTATGCAGAGAACGGTAAATGTTCATTAAATATACTATGTGATTACGACTGTATTTCTTCATGCTTTTCACTCCAATATATTTATACCTTTGTTTCGAAAATGCATTACATTCAATCAATTGGCAATACCCAAGATCCAGTGGTTATACAGTCGTTGGCAATGTATGGTCTGTTTATTTTCATTAAATTATGACAAATCCGTGTTTTATCAAATATCAAATCAATGCTGATATCGAGGAACAACATAAGTTTGACTAATTCAGTATTTTAATACACAGATGAAATCGACAAGGACTTTATTGTCGTTAATCGCCAGCTGCACATGCACATTACCATACGAATACCACACACACCAACAGACTAATGACAAGTCATTCTTTTTCAATGCATAGACATTTCATTTAAGTGTCTATTTCCATAGAAAGCTTGTATCGTTCATTAACAAAGAGAGTGCCTTATTAAATGGTTTGTAAAACTTTTCCAACATCAGTCTTGTCTCGTTGAGCATATCTCCTATCCGTTTGTTTGATCGACTTCTTTGATTAAGATGTTCACTATTGGTTTCACTGGTACCGAAGTCACCTGAAAGTAAAATACATGTATAGTTCAATAATAAAATCCATTGTTTTTATTAAACTTAAAATTTAATTAATCTTAAATTAATTTAGGTTAATCTTACACGTTTACATCAACCAGCTTGGATAAGATATATACATAGAGAAAACGCTAAAATTGATGTACGGCGTGGTGCTGTACATTCTGCATATTTCAAATGTCTCCAAATTACATTTAAAATATAATGCAGTATCTATATTTTCACTCACTGTTGCCATCTTAAGAAAAACTTAATTTTGTGCATTCCATTGCCTGCCCTACTACAAAGGTTTAAGAATGTGGCCTGCTGCCCATATGGTATGTTCATTAGATGCGATTAAACTTAATATTTCCCTCTTTTCTAATGATCTGTCTTCTTTCTAATGTCTCAATTAACAATGTCGCAAGTTTAGCCTTTAGTTGGGCATCCGCCCCTGTGAGGAAGGCTTTAGTTTATACACTTTGGCCTAGACATACGAAAGTCTCAACGATGCACTTCCTGCTTTACTCTCAGAATTACTGTAGCACTATGAAGACGGCTACATGGATATATTTCAGCCTCCCTAAAAGACACATTGGAAGGCTGTCCTTAACAAAACCCTAGTTGTTAAAGCTTATCAATAAGAACCAAAATAATCAGCACGACTCATATATGTTATAGTTTCAATCATTGGGGCAACTGAGACAAAGTCTTATGGTGAGCTATTGCAGTTACCTTCGTCGTGCGTCCGTAAAGAATTTAACATTTTCGACTTATTAAAACTCCTTATCTGATTTCAGTGTTTTGCATCCATGACCTACGGTGAACTAATATGGTAGCAGCATATGCCCTTCATGAATGAAACCATCTTAAGGCTCTTTAAGGGGCTGATGGGCGGGCAAAAAAGCGGTCAAATTGACTCGGATTTCAAAACTCTTTAGACATGGTAGAATCAAAAGCTCTTTACGAAAACTGTGAATTTCATGCCCCCAGGTCTCACATTACTCCTCGGATGCTGTGACATCAAGCATAAATGTTAAACATGCATCTTTTCCAATATGAATACATACTGATCACCAAAATGATACACTACATTAACCCACATGTAAACGTAGTTCAAGTTTAACATATAATATCTAATATATACATGTGATTTTGTTATGGATACTCGAATGTCTTCCATATTTTCGTAACGTTTTAAAGATAAGTTTGTAATAAGTTAAATATGAATATTTTCCAAATATATCTACACTAAAGCAAAAATATCTAAATAATCCACAGATCCTTAACAAAACAAAACAAAGGGAGATAATATTATTGTTTCACAAGATTAATGACAGCTTCTTTGTAAAGTATGATCAGTATTAGTGTCATGTTCCTAAATGAAAACAGCATTAATATAAACAGTACTGTTAACGGACATCAAAAAACATCTTTTTACACATGATCAAGGAAATATATTTCCCAATGAATTCATGGTAAAGACCAAATCCTTCCTCATAAGAATACTGGACTCATGTTGTCTCGTATTGATTTCTAATGAAGATTATACGGGGGATTAAAAGTACTTTAATCATACAGATCAAGCAAAGAGTCAGATATCAATTAAAAGTAATGTCATCATTTAAAATACTAACTTCAAACAAACACAAATACTTACGTAAACCTAAGAACTTGAAAATTTTTGACATGACCACTGATTGGTTCGTGGAGAAATTGTCTAAAGAAATGACAAGTAGTTGTTTCCGGGGGAAAACGTCCATCCAGTCTTTAAGGAATACCGCATATAATCCAATTTGTAGCCGAACGTGTACTGACATGTCCTTCAACAAATGTAATTGTTCCATCAATCGTTGACATTTGACACATACATTTCATAGATTAATTCAGTATATTTAATTGTTGAATAATGAAAATATACATCTATTTGCCTTTTTTTCTTGGAAGGGTTATTTACGATATTTACACAAATCCCCTTCACCAAACAAAGTTTATTCATCCATACAGAAACTTTTAAAAAAAGGAATACCAACATGGCAGCATAATCATAATTCAAACTCAAATCCCGTAATAACTAGGGCAACATAGGAACAAAAGGAAGATGTACACGTAGACTCCTGAAAAATTACAAGGAGAATAAGATAAGGTGTTCCGGAAGAGTAAGCATCCCCTGCTTCATCCACGACATTCGCCATGTTGACCTTGGTCAATCCAAGTAATGTAACTTTCTCAAATAAGAGCACGGTATACAATAATCAAACCAACAGGCAATCTAGCAAGCATCAAGTACGTCCAGCTTCATGTCACACAAATAAATAGAATATTTCTCAATGAAATCACTATGGTAACCATCAAATTTCTCCACTACTTTAATGGGAAATGGCCCCTGAATATCGAATCAACTATGACATGTAAATACCATAGGTAGGAGATGCAGGATTATTGCTATCCAGAAATGGAAAATTCTCAATATAAAATAATGCAATATATTTGTTTAACGTGGCCATTGCAGCCAGATGACGCAGCAGTGCCACGCAGTCTAATATAGTGTTCCTCACGTTGTCTACGGAAGGGTATGCTTAGTATGGGACTATTTGTACGATAGTTTTTTTTTCCAAATTCACACATTCATCGACAGTATGGAATGATCTGGGAGGTTGAAAGGTTGATACAGACATTGATTCTCTTAATGATATACGTATGACCGAGGTTTGTCCAAATCCCTTCATCCAACGGAAAGAGATTCTTAGAGATTTTCATGTATTGTCCGTTCTTGTCCCCGACCCACTGTCTCCTGGACATAAGATTCATCGTTTAGGTTTATCGGTTATGATAACGAAGGGGTCTTCAAAATCATTTTAAGTCATCTAAGTCTCAAGTAACTTATTGCGATTGTCTGTCGTGCGAATTGAATAACTGACATTTTATTTTGTTTTCAATTATCACTGAATAAACTTGGGTTGCATAATCCTTTGGAGAGGGGAAATAAAGTTGTTAAAATATGTCATCATATCCCAAGTCAGGTTACAGGCTCCTTTATATTTCCTGTAATCTAGTACTATGGAAGCTTTTCCTTCAAACAACCCTATGAAAAACCGTTTGTAAAACGCTCAGTCATGAAACTACTGATTGTTCTTTCTATGAAATGAAAACATCGTGTTGTTATATGTTCATTTCAAAACATTTTATTAATACAAAGTATTAATAGGATTAGACAGCAGGCTAGTGCCTATATAAGTCTTCTCCTGGGACAACACAGGTGGTCAATTACAGTTACACTGAGCAGATTCAAACACACATACATACTCCCTCTCTTTCACACTCACAAACCTACATACTTACATGTACATGTATAGCATACAGTAACTTACAGTGGATACATACATACAAACACACATATAGACATACATATATACACACACCCTCACACGCACATACACACCCTCTCTCCCATACGCACCCTCACACACACATACAGATAAATACACAGAGAAACCTGTGTTGTTATATGTTCACACAAACATCAATTCCTATAACTCAGCGTAAGACGCAGCTTTTCACAATCAGAAGCTGAAAGCAGTTATTAAGTTATTGAGATATGTAATTTAGAAATATTCAATATTTCTTCCATCATACTTTTCATTTTATTTGAGTTATTCAGCTTATATCTTAGATTATTTCACCAGCTATTACTTCTGTTAATTAAAGAAAGTATAAGATTAATAGTTTTCTCAATATGACTATAAAAACAAGTTTAAGTTTACGTCCTTCAATATATTTGAGGTCAACTTAATTTGATATCATTTTGCTTTTGTTAAAGACAATATCACTTTCACTGACATTAATACTACGAATGTCCAGGAAATTATATGTTTTTTTGTTAAGTTGATACATTTGGTAGGTTTATGAATTTTGCTTCTCTCTGCGATGTTTCGGAAATTATCTTATTATACTTTTCCTTCTGTTTGCTCACCTACGGGCAGAATTGTTTTCCCATCTTAACCTTTTTGTATTACACCTTATGGCGGAATTGATTCCCATCTAAACAAATTGTAAATATTGGTATAACGGTAACTAATGTATAAATTTTAATGTCTGTCGTTAATTGCAATAAACGTCAAAATTCAAATCAGATTACAGTGTTGTAGCTTTAAGGTATTAGTTGTATTAGTCATAAAAGAGATAGCTGATAGAACGTAATCATCGGTAAAATATGGGAGAGTACCTTATTTTGATGCAGTCATCCGAATCCGAATCGATCTATCTAGGTGTGTTAGATACATTTTCAACATACATGCCTCGAAGCTTCTTGTTACTTGTTCAGTGAAACCAATATTAGAACATCTATCACAGGTAAAACCCACTCAACCGTAAATTAAAGTCCTGCGGTATGAATAGAACAACCTGATGTGTAAGATATCATAACCTTAGTAAGATTCCTGTCCAATGTTTATCCCCTCTCAATACCTACTGGTCAAGCTCTGATACTTTCACAATGGTCTTCTTTTCCTACCACCCTTATCCCTTAACATTCCACTTGAAAATTATTCCACAACACCAAGTCGGCCACATAATAACCTCTACAAAGCTATTTCTTTTACCAATATCAACATTTCCAACTTTTCCAAATACTACGCTTATTCATAAACAAATCTACATGGGTGTGAACAGTTAAGTGACGCCAGAAATTAAAAAAAAGTAGGGGCATTGTTAAGGTGAACAATTTACAGAGTGACAGACAAACATGGAAAAAAGAGACTTAAGTCTGGACACTATAAATATATCAACACTAGCACCTTACTAGCAAATTACTGTTAACACGCTGTCCTTCAGATGATACTTAAAATGGAAATTTCAAACGATAAAGATCCCTCTGCGTTTCTTCGAAAAAGAGCAGGCAGAGGTTAGTGATAGGTTAGCAATATAGATTTTTTGAAGTGTATTATCACCTTAATTTCGCTTTTTCCATATTAGTTCAAGGGAATCGTCTTCAACGTTTTAGTTTTGTAACAGGTCTGATACTAAAGACGGCCCGTCTCTACCTCTGTAAGCCATGTATCACACTTTCTCCCATCACTTCATACTATTCTATTTCTCTCTATTCATGCCATATCACGTCTGCTGGAAGGTCATAAGGACATCATAGTGGACGTTAAACCCGTTACATAGATAAATAAAAAGGAAATGTGATGTATGAACTCAGCTAATCAAGTGACCAAGCCAATCTGTATATGGACCTGTATGACCCGTAATACAGATTTAGGTCTAACAGTTCATATGGATCTTTCCCAAAGATTTATATATTATCATGAATCAACATTTGGTCATGTAAATGAATTGCTTTGTTTTATTTATCTTATATACAGGGACATATTTGGTTTACAGTTAAGATAAAGCCGGTACATACATTTTTGGAATCACTTCCATTGGAAATAACTCAGACTTGATCAGAGTTATTATAAATATATCGGTGGCAGGTTTCAGATTCAGAATCATAGAACTGAACAATTTCAGATAATTCAATGATTTTTTAGTATTTCGCAAATATTTGATTAGATGAGCGATCTGGAAACAACCAGGTTAGTTTGTGTGTCGCAGGTGACCGTTAAGTCTTCTGACGCCTGTGTTTGGTTGGGGTTCATTGAATTATATTTTGAAACGCGGAGACTTTATTACGATGTTTTGTAACAGTTAACTGTAATGTCTGAACTCATTAATCCCAGTGTATTATGTATCCCTTTCCCTTTCTAACAAGTCGTGCCCGTTACATTTTAGAAACTAACCGATCTAATTAATCCCTCCTCTGTTACTCTCCGCATATGACAACATTCCATAATAGTGCTTTTGGAATAAATACTTTTTTTACAAGGATTCATCCATTTCAGTTATATGGGGTGTCATTTTGTGAATACTACTGTCACCCTACATTGCACATAGGTTTGTAATCAAAATATCTGGATCGCTGTCTAGGAGTTGTAAATAATGCACAATTGTCACATTGAGACCATGTATTATTAGGCCAGCTTTCAATTATATGTATTACCCCCTCTTTGAATACTGTAAGACGACTCGGAAACTCAAGGTATGACATCAATAAACCGACCTGTTACCACAGGTGAAAATAGATATCATGACTTTATTGAGGAATGCCCTCGTTTTACTTACTGAGGTTATTCTTGTTTAAGTGTTTGTAAAGCACAACTAGTGACCTTCTAGTTAGAGTTATTAAAGAGCACAACAGGGGACCTTTGTGGTAGTGAAGATACAACACGCTAAACTGTGGCTTTGTTCAAGTGTAGTGAATGCACACAGAAGGATATACTTAGATTTTTATTGTAATGGTTGCACACTGAAGGTTCCCTTATTTTATTTCAGTTTCACTGAGGCACGGTAAAGGGGGCCCTTGGTTTAGTACAGTAAAATATACTTAATGATGTCCTTGATTCAGTATAGTTACAAGACAATCAAGGATTTCCTGGTTTCAATGTTATTAAGACACACACTTTGGTGCTCTTGGTTTTAGTGCAATAAACGCACACGAGACCCATCAGACTTGTATTGCTAACTTGGTATAGTTAACAATAAAAAATGGAATTTATCTTACCCCTATCTCTCCACCCTCCGTTAGACCCCATTCCGCTGCCTCCCGGGGTTTGAGTCATTTTAGAGAATTCTCTATATTTTCCATATACTGGTACCGCCTTTCAGACCCCATAAGGCAGAAAACTGAACTTCATATCCCAGCGAAGTAAAACTCATACAAAAATGAGTCCTCAACACAAAAAGGTGGCATGAAACATCCATCTGGGGCGTATTATCTATGCCATTGAAGCGAATGATTAGCCTTTGTAAGTAAGTCGACGAGTTATTGAAAACAGTATTACTCACTTTGTAATAAGCACAGTGACGAAGGCTGTTTTTTGTCAAACAATTATTAACTGAATGCACTGCATGAGTAACTTTATCGTTGAACATTTGTACCGACTTTTGTTGATGTTTGTTGAAAAAAAGATAATCAGAATACAACCTGTAAAGGAAAAAAACACAAAATAGTATGAAGACTAAATGTCGTATATAAGATTAAAAGAGCATACACAATTTAAAGGTCAACTTAAATTGTAGACATTGGCAGTCGTGTATTCAGCAAACTTAATTTAGATTGCACTTCAAAGCCTCTGTCACAGATGTATTCCAAAGTATGTAGCCAATATGTGGCTTACTGCAGATTTCGCGTATTGATGCAAGTATCTTGCTAATATCCTCATCATGATTTTACAAAAACAAAAAAATAACAAAAAATCAATGCTTAAATATCCATAGTGGTTAAACAATGGTTATTCAATATGGTTAAACATAGCGCTTTTATCTCTTTATATAGCATAAAACCATTAAGTGAAGTGTTAACAATGTGAATGAACTTTTTGAAATGACATTATGCATTCCATAATATAATTGAAATGAAACTTGTAAGTGTAAGTGTTAGTTCAACCATTAACCCTGTACAAACCGATCGACTGGATTTCGAAGGATGACCAATAACTTCACATCCGGTAGTATATGACGTATAAAGTGGGCGTTAAGTATCCTAGGCACCTTGTCATTCTCATTTCCCGGGTATTCCCACCACCAATGGTGATCCCATAAGGTTGACTGACTACCTTCTCCTGCACAAAACATGGAATTAATCACATATTACTTATCATAATGCATTTGTTTGCTTAACTCGACGTTATCCATACCTCGGTGTTTCAGGATACCCGATTGTGGCTCAAAATATCAAACTAGTTTGTACACGGTCGGGAGATACCGTATCTTTGCTAGCATACTTTTCCTATTATAATCAAAGTTCCCGTACGCGCACCTGCCCAGTGCCAATGGTACTGACGGTACGAATGTGACGTGTAGCGATGAAGAGTAATCAATTTTGTAAAACGACCTTTGAAGGTCATAGGGGTCAAATATCGAAATCCTGAAACGACTTCTTCCTCAGAACCAAAAGGCCCAGGGTACTGAAACTGGTAGTATACTGGGATGAAGGGCTGAACAATTTCGACAAATAAAAGTCTTGTCTTGTCTTGTTGAAGGTAATTAAATCTATAATCATAAAACTGCGATTTAAAGTTCATTTTTAAACTTACCTGTAACGATTCGTTCCTTCTCTGACTTATTAGAAATGTGTAATGTTTCTGCCACATAACTAAAATGGTCCCCATATTCTGTGAACGATTGCGGCAGCAATGTTGCTATACAAATAAAAATAAATGAAAATAGTTATTTAAAAAAAACAAACGTTTTATAACTCATACTGCATACTCGACGCTCTTCCGAAATGAACTCACATATTGAACAGTTAAAACATTGAATTTGTAAGTCAGTGAACCTTCAAACCTATACGTATATTTTTCACTCGCCTCCCTTCGTCTGGTTTACATTTTCCGAACTCGCCTTTTAGATTCCACAGTTTTAACCCTTAGCATCACTAACAAGTCGTAAAACTGAACGATCCACCTGTTGTAATGCTGAATTTATTGACTATGCCTATCTTTAGATCAAGCGTTGTTTGGTATTTGCATATCGATTGGATATATGAAAATAGATACTTACAGTTGCAGTAGGGTAGTTGGAGATCTGAAAAGAAAATAACATTTTTAATCCATATTTCGTAGAAAAATGGACACCGGAATTCCCTTAATATTCACTTAGAGATGCACTACTACAAAAACCTATCTACGGCCAAATTTTGAACAACAATATCCCGTCCACACAAACATCATATCCCTATTGCACAATATATATGTTACATGTGATGGAACAAACTTAATAAGCCATTATCTGCAAATACAAATGCCCCATTATTATGACCCCGGGTTTATATGTTTTAACGTCGTATTAACAGCTAGGGTCATTATGCTTGTGACATTGTGCACCATTCGGTTTCAACTCTTCATTTTAATTAACGAATTCTCAATCACCGATAATTCAAGAATAACGATATTGGGCCTGTTACCTACTGGGATAAAGTGCTACCAAGTTGCTGGATATGAATGACCCTGACCCACTTTTAAGATTGCTTATGTCTAAAATACATCTCAGTACCCAACATGTCCTTGATATTGGTATTGGACCTGTGGTATGCTGAGATAACGGACTACCAAAATCTTCCAATCAGATGAGTCATTCTCTAGGTCAGGGGGATCAAACAACTTCCGTAGCGTGTAAGGTTGGAGGACTGCATAATCTACTTTTGGACTTAACGTCATAAGCAACAATGATGTTAAAAAACCTTCTTCTCAATCGATAACTCTGGTGTCCCTATATTAGACCAATTTCATCCTTAACATCTCCTTAAGACTCAATAACTAAAAGCATTACCTGCTCTGAGTATGATGCGATCGGATGGGCACTATACTGCAGTTTGGTAGCACTAGAAAACAGGCCTTTGTTCCGCACTGTCAAAAGGAGACTTTCGGGGAAATAGTGAAGCCTTTCAAAACATTAGTGCACTCAACTCGCATCTAAAGGGAGGTCGTCATTATTTGCGCCTAGATGTTTATAGGACGTTAGGAAATGTAAAATCAAAACAAAATATGTTTGAATTCATGAAGGATGTACTACTTTATCTTTTTAATTCTAATGTTGTCTGGATAAATTTGAATTTCAGCTTCAATTCTTTCGATTCCGAAGTGACTTAAAGGACATGCAATATATAGGTTTTAGACTAGTGGACAAATGTATAGAGAATTATCCATGTACTCTGGGTAACTGATGCCAAGGGCTGGATCGTGCTGTAGACATGATATATGGGAAAATGGCATCTAAATATGTTACTGATACTCGTTTTGTTCGAAGGAGAATACAGATAAATTCCTGACGTTGACGTTAAAAAATCTGTAGTTCATAATGACGAATCATCCGGTACACATTCATGATTTTTTGGCCTTTAGATTTATTTAGATACTTGACACTAATTCAAATACTGCAAAATTATCTCTTTTCGTTGGGCTCAAATTTGATTGTTTTAAATTCACTATATTTTGGACAGTTGGTTTAGTGGATAAGTATATCTCTATCAACGCACTTATGCTAAACAGTTTGTGGGTTACAAGTAACCACGAAAACAAAAAATCTTAATGATAATAAACTTTATTCATTAAGGTTATAAAATATGTTTAGCCAACGGCTAATCTCCCACATGGTCCTCTGGGTAGTATAATACTGTTAGTTAAAATCTACAAAGTTACATACATGAATCGAGTTTAAAAAACAAACTACAGATTAAACAACAATTGGATTTTTTAAAATACATCTTATCATAGACATTAATTAGAATTATCACAGAATGCAAAATTACTCGTGCAAAACCATTTCATCAATTAAATGGCAGGTGCCTAATATACATACATGCTAATATATCAAACAGATAAGAATTGACATATTTATACGCTAATATAGCATAGTCTAAAATTTAGGTCAATATAGTGGTAAAAATGTTGAATAAGAATGTCAAATATATCACAGAGAGATATAAGGCTTAGATATAAGGTGTTGAATAAGTTTTCTTTTAAAAGCGGAAAAACAGTGGACAAACTTAATATCTTTGGGTAAAATATTCCATTCATTAATACTGTCAGTAAGAAATTGTTTAGAATGAAACACAGTTCTATGTTTTGGCACTTGGAAATTGTTTTCAGAAGCATATCTAGTATTCATGCTGTGACCATTCCGCAATAGTGATATATTGTTTGACAAATATTCTGGAACAGTCTGGTGATAACGTTTAAATAACATGCACAGCCTTCTAAATTTGAAATACATATTAATTGGCATCCATCTAAGTTGTTGAAATATTACACTGGAAGGTGCGTTAATAGGTACATTTAAAATAATACGGGCTGTCTGCGTCTGAGCTTTGAGTTTTCCCATTAATTTTGTGTTGCAACCTGACCACACAATACTACAATATAAAAAATGTGGGGAAAACACAAGAATTGAAAAACCTAAGTTTACCTTCAGTAGGTAGATATGGACTAATGCGTCGTAATAAACCAATTCTTGTCTAATCCTAGATACAACAGATGTAATATGACTTGACCACATTAGTCCATTATCAACGTTTACAGCAACCATCAAACTTGTTATATTATCACCAAAAAGTAAAATGGTAAGTCAGACTATATGATACAGACCAACATCTTTCAGATAACCTAGCATTTTATTTTTTGAAAAGGCGGGTCTTTAGACTTGTAACGTTACGATTAACAAAGTCTCGAGTTGTAAATGTAAAAATTTTATATATCTTTTTTGTTTTGTTAATTTTTAAAAGGATGAACGAAAGATCCAAATTTCAATGTCTGATTTTACCATCTCATGAAGTGGAAAGTCAACTTCAGGTGATTTCAAGAGCCAAGATGAAATTTCTATCATTCCAAATGACTGAATTTGGTCAATATTTTTGTTTTGTAAAAGCGTGGAAATCTGAATACCGAATGGAGGAATGTTCTTTGGTTTGTTTCAAAACCAGGTTTTATACTTTAGATCAAATACAAGTGAAAAAGCAGGATTTGAAGGATTTTGCTTTAGCTGAATGGTGTATTGCAAAGCCAACTGATTTCGTTGGCTATATAGTGATGGTTCTTTAGCCTTTACCTAGAGGCTTGCTGTAGGTGTGTCCTAAAAGATCCGAGAGCGAGCCTCACGCCCTGGTGATGAACAGTGTCTAATAATTTGAGATATTGGCAGATCCATACACAATGGAACCGTAGTTTAATTTTCATCTAATAAGATCTCTATAAAGTCTTAGCAAAACAAAAACGAAAATAAATTATCCACGAAAATAAGTGAATTTGCGGTATATGTCTGTGTTTTCGTGCCATTACGACTATTCTTATACTTACAGCGACAGTGTCGACATCTTGCCCACCAATGCGGTTCCTTTAAAAAGCCCGATATGATATCTGGATGTTGCATAATACGGCTATACAGACTGGTACTGCCGCTTTTGGGTTGGCCAATCAACAGAAAGTATGGAAGGCAGCGGAGGGTGGTGTTCTTTTTTCTGTCGCCGGAATACATCTTACAACGCCTCCTTGTGTCCACATACTTATCATCACTGCAGATACGTTCCATCCAAATCTTTCTTCGGTTATTGTCATCATCATACCAACAGGGGTTTTTCATGTCGGGAAGAAATACAGGAGGTTTCTACAAAAACAACAAGATAACAAACATGTAAGTATATAAATATTACAAATTCAAATTCAATGATTATGGGGCAAATTATGAACAATAGAAAAAATTACATGCGGACTGAAAAGTACCATAACCAGGGGTTCTGGAAAAATACGCGTATTTTACTTCATCGACGACAACCGCATTTTGAACCTTCGTCAATCAAAGAAAGTAATGTCACGTTCTCAAAAACGGATGAGGTATATATCAACGAAACCAACAGACAAACTACCGAGCGTCACACACACCCTTTATATTGCACAAAGAAATAGAACTCTCAATGAGATCACTATGACGACTACTCATACAGCCTGTATCTTTTGATACCACGTGTTACAAATTTGTCGGACACACGACATCTTGTACAGGAAATCGTGATATTGGAAGCAGGCCCTTGACAACTGAATCGACTGTGACATGTAACGGTGTGGGATGCAGGAATGTTACTGACCAGAAATTTAAAAAATCACAATAAGGGAATTGAAATCATCACGCATATAGCATATAGCTCTGTTGGTTTCTTTGAATTCGCGATAATCTGCTGATGAAGACGAATCTGTCGTATCTTTGACTTTTGATCCTGGTGTGTATATACATTAGACGTTGTCAATGAAAGACATGGAGTCATCAATGTATCTGAAAGTAACATTTAAGCACCATTTTTCTCTGTTCTTACCAGCTTTTCAATTAATTCATCCTCGGATAAAACAAGAAAACGTTAGCCAACAGAGGGAAACACTTAGTTCCCATAGGTCAGTCTTAACACCTCGATCACTTTGTGATTCCGTCATCCGATTTAATTTAGATGTATTATATAAATTACTTTATTCACTTAAAAACGCTAATTTAATGTCGACGCAAATAAACAAACATTTCTTTGCAAAGTCTTGGACGTTGACAGATAGTATTGATCCATTCTACAGCCTGTTGGTATTGTGATATAATAACTTTTCAATCAACAATAACAAGTTTAGCAATAGCTTCTACTTTAGCTTATTTCTATATATCAAATGATGGAGTAATTGCTAGATATTCTTAAACATTACATAATGAAAAGGCAGAATTGCTATATCACGGACACAAATTGGATGGGCAGGTTGGTAAAGATTATGAGGAAGTTTTACTGTCTTCATAATGCACACAACGAAATATATTGTGCTTCCTTGAGCGAAACGTGTTTACTGTCTGTTGGTGTTGAAGATGACCCCGTTCACGATATTTTTGTGCTGATATGGAAATGCTGCATTCTTACTAGGTTGCACCAAAATGTACATAGTGCTGAATATGCTCGACTTTTCAACATTATGCAGAAGGATTATGAGACCGCAGCACCTGGTTTTGTTATCCTTCTAAATTATTTTGAACTATATCCATGGTCACAGTGCATGTCTTTCTTTCGTGGACCACTCGCCCTGGATGTTGTAAAGAGGTTTAGAGAGCCAATTAGACGAAATTATTTTTTTCTGGTATAACGGATGAGAATGCCACAGGCGATGTTGGAATGAGCATGCAAGTTGCTTTCTGTCTCAAATTCGATCATTATGTTCGCGGATTGTATTTGAAATTTAAATCAGTTTTTGGAGATGACACACTTTCGTATGAGTTTAATATTCCTTAAGGAGGTATGTTCTCATTAATTTTTTCTGGTATAACGGATGAGAATGCCACAGGCGATGTTGGAATGAGCATGCAAGTTGCTTTCTGTCTCAAATTCGATCATTATGTTCGCGGATTGTATTTGAAATTTAAATCAGTTTTTGGAGATGACACACTTTCGTATGAGTTTAATATTCCTTAAGGAGGTATGTTCTCGTTAATTTTTTCTGGTATAACGGATGAGAATGCCACAGGCGATGTTGGAATGAGCATGCAAGTTGCTTTCTGTCTCAAATTCGATCATTATGTTCGCGGATTGTATTTGATATTTAAATCAGTTTTTGGATTGGCATAAGTTTAATATTCCTTAAGGAGGTATGTTATCATTAAAACACGTTATTTTTTCAAAGTGTACTATGCACTCAACATGCAGTTTGACATACTGACTTTGCGATCTGGGATTTGACCCCCATTTTCCATTAAAGGTTGCACAAATCAGTGAGGGTTGTGTCTTTTAAAATGTTTTAGAGTGTTAAGCTTCCTAAATATTTCATAAATATACTAAACAAAAAAAGAAAGGTAACACTACTTTATTCTGTGATTAATTAATTAACCCCTTCATAAATCGTCACCGATCATGTACGAATAAAGTAATTGATCTATTCTGATAAAACTGCAGTCATGGTTCATTGTAAAACTTTGCGTTCAGTTGATTTTATTCGACTGTAAAGGACGTTGGGGTCAATTTCAAAGGTAACAACATTAGTAACGGGTATGAGAGATGTTGTTCCATTCAGCGATCAAGGCTTGGGCCAGCTCCTGCAAGTTTGACGACTGATTTCGACGTTCTCTCACGCGTCGCCCAAGAACGTCCCAGACATGCTCAATCGGTGACAAATCAGGTGATTTAGATGGCCAATCTAACACCTGTACGTTATTCTGCTACAAGAAAGTTCTGCTGACGCGACTGGTGTGCGCTGGTGCGTTATCCTGTTGAAAAATGGCGCCAACGCCATGGCGTCTTAAGGATGGCAGAACCACTGGTCTTAAAATTTCGTCCCGATATCGAATACCGGTTAAATTGCCATTTAACACAACAAGCCTGGTACGAGTCCCCCCACAAATACCACCCCAAACCATTACACTTCCGCCGCCAAAGCGGTCCAGTTCTGCGACGCACCAGTTCGCAAAACGCTCCCCTCGTCGCCTCCACAGTCTGCGCCTTCCGTCACCGTGTTGCAGACAAAACCTGGACTCATCTGAAAACAGCACATTGTCCCATTGTCGTAAGGCCCAACGACGGTGAACACGGGTCCAGTTACGCCGATTATTACGGTGACGTCGCAACAAATTGGGTCCAGAGTAGGGACGCCGCGCTTTCAATTAGTAGGCCCTCAACCTGTTGCGGACTGTTTGGGAAGACACACGACGCCGAAACAATGTCCTTGTAGTCTCTACTGCGGTTACGAATCGATTGCGCAAGTGTATCAATCGTATACGACGGTCATCCCTGGCGGTCGTTTTACGGGGTCGGCCGCTTCGGGGACGATCGGATGTTGACCCAGTTTGGTTTAAACGACTTACCAACTGGCAAATTGTCTTAACACTGCAACCAAAATGCCGTGCAACTCGACGGCGAGACTCCCTTCTTTTTTCTTTTTTTGTTGAGTATATATGAAATTATACATAGCATAAAGCAAAATCATTTCGTATGTTTCATGAAATATTCAGAAGAATGTGCTTCTTAAAATCTTATAGAATACGTGATACTTCGAATTGAAAGTATATTTAAAACATTTTAGAGGAACATACGTCTTGAAATATTTTCGATTACGTGATTCGTAAAACTTTTTAGAAGGTCATGTTTCTTAAAAATATTTTCGAAATATATGATTATCATAATATTTTAGTTGTACATAATCCATAAAACATTTGAAAGGTATATGGTCATAGAGTCGGTGGTGCCCGTCATCCCTATGTTTCTTGAAGTATTTAAGATTACGTGATTTTTAAAATAATTTGGAAAGCATACGATTTTTAATTATCTTAGAATTACATGTTTCTTAAAACCCTTAGGAGGAGCATGTTTCTTGAAATGTTTTATTATATGTGATTCTGATCAGAAATAGCAATAGCAACCTTGCATAGTCAAAATCCAAAATGGCTGCCTGTCAGTCCCAAAAAGTGTCAGAGCGAGACTAGCGACCAAGGGAAAGTATAGATATGAAATCTGAAAATAATTCGTTGAGTGCTTTCAAAAAATAGTGATAACAAGAGTAGTTTACAGACAAACGGAGGACAAGCAACTATCCACAATGAACAAAAATGATAATTATAACAAAATGGTCAGGTGTAATAAACTCAAACAAAAAGGTACAAACTAGAAACTTGTCATCCGACAAGTATTGATGCCACCTTAAGAAAACTATTCATAAAAGTTGAAGTATGTAACCATGATTGTGGAACTGGCTACGCGCCGCTAGAAAGTATTACCAGGTAACATATCGTGTACTGTATTTGAAAATGAAGATCACTCCCTATTTCGTCTAAACCAGAAGGTAGGAAAATCCTATCACATACACAATAGATTGAATACTAATATACTGGATGCCTAAATCAAAGGCTTATTCACAAAGCATAAGAACAGAGAACAGATGACTTATTAAAAGTGAATCAAGTACCGGGTATATTCTTATAATTATACATATGCAATGCTTTCCATTTAAATTTGTTGTATAAGTTATCTTCAAATAACTCTGTGATTATCAAAGTCCAAAGAACATTGAATTAAATTGAAAATTATATACTGTTAAATTCAAAATAATTCCGAAATTTTCATGGCTTGTTATTATCACTCGGCTGATGTAGAATTGTATACAACTTATATTGAAGCTAAAAGCTGATCATTTTTACAATGTGTTCGATGTACATTACCAGATATATGATAAAGCTTAATCACACAGTGACGATATTTTGATCATAGCTTTTAGATTTAGTCAACAAGTTATCAAGATATCGATATCGTTTAAATATTAGTTAAATTCATCATTTTGATGTATTACTGCTTAAAATATCCTAGCTGTCCGTTCTTCTTAGAGACTCCGAGTGAACGAGGAAAATTTAATTAATCTTTAACCTCTTAAAATACGTGTCTTACATTAATTACATAACTGTGTGTCTACTTGTTATACAGATCATATGAGTGACTAGCTTTGTTAATACATGACCCAATGGGAAAATACATGAAAAGGTGCGATGATTAAAAAGAACTTAAGACAAGGTAGTATGGCACTGCAGTTTACTTACACAGCCTGGAACTGAGTACAAGAAATAAGGAAGCATTTTCAAACTGA